GTGGAGGGGGGCGACTTTGTACGCGCACGCTGCCTCACGCGCGGAGATTGACGGCGTCACTGACTGACGTCATAACATGCACCGGGAGGGAAGTAGGCGGGGGCGGGGAAAGTGTGACGGGGAATGGATCAAGCGCCCCCCCCCCTCTCTGACGGCTTTGTGGACTGGGGGCGAGAGGGTGAGAACCACTCGCGGCACGCCACACACACACATCATACTGGCTCGCGATACGAACAGACTACCAACCACTCTTATACTATCGCAAACACAAAGTAAATAAATCTTTATGTTTTGTCTTCTCCTTCCTCTTTTCGATGTTGGACGGCTGTTTGATTTCTTTTCGCTTTCCCGCCGCGCGCAGCGACTTCCTCCGCCGCCACCGCCACGTGTCGTGACTCGGTCAAATCAATTCGAAAAGCGCGCCATCAGCGAAACGGCAAAACAGCCGTCCCGTCACTGCGGAAAAAAAAAAAAAAGGAAAGAGAGAAAAGAAGGCATTGGCATCCAGCCCAGCAGCTGCAGAAGGAAGCCGTCGGTAGGGCCCTTGCGCCAGAATTAACGAGGCTGCCTGCGCTAGCGCTGCGCTATCGGAGCGGAGGTATCGATGGGCACGAGCACCTACGTCACCGCCCGCCGCGCAGCTGGCTCAGGCAGCTCTAGTCCGGAGGGACGCGCGCCCTGCACTAGGCACGTGGCGAGTCCTGGACGGCTCGTCCAGCAGGTGGGGGGGGGGGGGCCTTGTACACCACTGCCAAAACCATTTCTGACTTTCACAAATAACCCATGAGCGAGACAATGAGAAATGTTGTAAATTTGCGATTTTGAAATATAAATTTACAAAATTCTGCGCTGACTAGGAAATCTTTTGACGGGCGAAAATTATCTGTCGCAAATTTCCAACCCAACGGAGACGTTTTGCTCTAGTGGCGCACAGACGACGCTAACCCCGTCCACCCCTCGCCTACGTGGCCTACCTCAAGGACCGCGCCGGGACCTCTCTTCTTCCTCGCACAAGTGATAAATTAAAAGCCCCCTAAAGTGCGGCGCACGCGACAAGCGCCGTGGCCTCAAAAGCGCGACAAAAGAGCACCCCCCCCCCCCTCTCCCCTTCTACCAGGAGTGGCTCCAGGAATAGCGACCGCGCGCCGGCACAAAGGCGCGGTCTCGCCAGGAAATTAATTTCACCCACTTCGCTTCGGGGGTACCACAAGCAGCCGAGCCGAGCCTCTGCCGAGCAGCGGCAGGGCCAGCAGGGCGCCCGCCATCGGGAGGGTAGGCCGCCCGGCGCGCGGCGGTGTGCGGCGGCCCGGGGGGGCGCCTGCCTGCCGCCCGGGGGTGGGGCTTGCGGGCGTGCGAGTGCAGTAACAGCAGCAAACGCTTTTGGCTGGAAGTGAAAAACGAGAAAAAGAATCAGGTCTGACACCCATGCCTTACCTCAGCATCTAGATAGATTTTTTTTTTTTTTTAAATTGTCATTGCTCCATTTCCAGCAGAAAAGCTTTTGCTGTTGGTACTGCATTAGCAAACATTTTGCTGAACCAGCGCAAACGTCAAATTTCGGGTTGATGTGCATTTGGCGTACTTTCCCCATTGTCTTCTCCGCCAGCTCTCCAGTATCGATCCCCTGCCGCCACATCCCGAGGCAAAGTAATAGCCTGAATGTTGTCTGAATGTTGTCTGAATCTTGTCGAGGGTGACGGTTAATTCGTAGGTAAAGCGCAGTTAAACGGCAGGTCGTCGTCAGTCAATCGTCAGTCTATCGGTAGCCAAACGGCTGACCATCCTCATCGACAAACGGCAGACAAACGTCAGACAAACCACAGCCTGACCGCAGTACATCGGCAGTCGATCCTCAGCCCAGTTAGACTGAGGATTGACTTTGTCTGCGGATTGGCAATGGCGTTACCAGACTTTGGAGCCTCAGACAATCTTCAGACAATCCTCTGCAAGAGATGAAAATGAAAACAATCGTCTCGGCCGGGCAGCTGCCGCCCGCCCGGTACCGAACCCCGGCCCCCGGAGTGGAAGTCGGAGTGCTTGCTCCCTTGGCCAGAGAGAGGTCGCTGAGAGACGAGCTCGGCGAAGGCACGTCACGGCAGATTGAGATGGGGGCACCTTTGCCAAACGGTACGGAATTCTCTTGAGTGTAGGGCTATCATAATCCGCTCTAATATTTGAAATATAGAAGCATCCATTGGAAACAATAACAGAATTAGATTCCGCCGGCTCCGACGCTTCCAATAAACTTATTATTTCATGCTGGCCGATACATATACAACTTTTTATAAATTTATAATAGTTGCAACGCCATCTTGGCTAGGCCGCCGCCAACAGACTCCCAGCACCTGCCTTCGCCGAGCTCGTCTCTCAGCGACCTCTCTCTGGCCAAGGGAGCAAGCACTCGGACTCTCATTCCGGGGGCCGGGGTTCGGTACCGGGCCGGCGGCAGCTGCCCGGCCGAGACGATTGTTTTCATTTTTATCTCTTGCAGAGGATTGTCTGAAGATTGTCTGAGGCTCCAAAGTCTGGTAACGCATTGCCAATCCGCAGACAAACGGCAGTCAATCCTCAGTCTAACTGGGCTGAGGATCGACTGCCGATGTACTGCGGTCTGGCTGTGGTTTGTCTGACGTTTGTCTGCCGTTTGTCGATGAGGATGGTCGGCCGTTTGACTACGGTTTGGCTACCGATAGACTGACGATTGACTGACGATGACCTGCGGTTTAACTGCGCTTTACTTACGAATTAACCGTCACCCTCGACAAGATTCAGACAACATTCAGGCTATAATTTTGCCTCGGGATGGTAGCCGCCTGGTGACCCACACGACCCCTGATCCCGCTGCATTCCATGTCCACAAAGCAGCAATCCAGTGGGTGCAAAAGTGCTGGCCCACGGCCCACGGGGGCAGCTCGGCTCGGCCCCGACCAGCCCCACTGAGGAGGAGGAGGAGGAGGAGGAGGAGGAGGAGGGGGGGGGGGGCTGCCGCCGCACCCACTCCTGGGACCGCAACCGCCGCGGCCCTGCCCCCCACCCCCTCCCCCCCGCGCACCATCACGCTCCGGCCGTACCGGCCAGAGATCGCTCCAACCCCCTCCCCCTCTCCCTCGCAGCCCCAAACCCTCATCCCCTCCTCTCGGGTAGGCCCTAGCCCACCCGCGCCAACGGCCCTTAGCATCACTTGTGAGAACCAGAAAGGAACGGCAAGGCAAATCCTCGATCTCAAACTGCCCAGTTGCTCAAATTCTGCTAGCGCACAAATAAGGACATGTCGCACTACACTCTTTTTTCCTAACCTTTGTTTTCCCTGTCGTTCGCGCGTCTCGAAAGCGTGCGGTGGGGGGGGGGGTGAATCCCCCTGAGTCACATCACCATCACCATCCAGCAGTAGTCCGGTGTCGAATCAAAGAAAACGAGATTCCGCCGGGTATTATCGAACGTCAGCTCCGCCGAGTGTAGGAGACTAGCGGCAGAGGAGGGGGTGGATGAAGGGAAGGGGTGGGGGTGAGAGGGCAAGGAGTAACCCCCTCGCCAGGGCTCCAGTGTATGCGGGGTCAGTTCAACCACCCCGCCGACCCATGCCTCGATACACGTCGTGTCAATCAGATGGATGAAAGCCAGCAGAAAGGTTGTGAGTACAACCTGCCCTACATGTGGCTATGTGTGCGGGCCAAAGGTTAAGGGTAGCCCAAAGTTCAGACGTGCTGTCAGAGCTCGCCCCTTTCATATTTTTTTTTAATTTTTTTTTCTTTTTTGTCGATGCGAGAGCTATTTGTGCTTTTGGTGTTTCGCGGCCGCTGAGCTGCGTGGGCGCGGGCAAGGGTCGTGGAGCGGGGCGAGAGGTGGGGCGCCGGCGCCCAGTAGGCCGACAAGGGCACAAAGAGCGTCTCAATGGCCTCCGGCGGCGCGCCCAACAGGTCACCCACTAGAGGGCCTTAACGAGCTGCGCCCGGCCACCAACAAGAGGAGTGAGTAATTGGTGACGGCGCTATGGGGGCTCCAGCGCCTCGCCTTTGTGAGGTGAGACAAGGCGAGAGAGCTCAACGCAGGAGGACCAACCAGCGCCACCCGTCCAGAGAACCAGATTCAAAACCGATGAAATTTTAGCTCTGGGGACCAAAATTTATCCGAGACGATGAAACAATTTAGTCTAGCTGACTTAATTCGATTGGTGCGACCATATTCAGTTTAAAATGGGCTTACTAAATTTTAGTTGGTTTTCGGAACTAAATTTTGTTTCTTAAAACCCTGATTTAGCTGTTGGCCTATCACCTAAATGATTGTCTGGGTGTCCGCCCTGCGCAGGCCGACACTTTCGAACCCCGGCAGCACAGGCTCGTCATTGAAGGCATCAAAGCGAGGTGGTTGGTGTCAGCAAAAGCAGCGCACCGCACACTCCGACAATGTCTCAATTTTTGAGGGAAAAGCGAAAACTTTGAGGAACTCCCCTGGTATGACAAAAACTCATCAGATGTCGAGGAAGTCTCCTCAAAAATTGTGGGATTTTTCCTCATTTTTTGAGAAGATTCCTCAAAATTTGAGGCGGGATTGGAGTGACTCTTCCTCAAACATGGGAGTTCCTCAAAGTGTTCCCTTTTCCCTAAAATAAACGAGACATTGTTTTTATCGTGTCGTGGGGGGAGCAGACGCGATGTCTGTTGAGCCAGTGCAGTCCGCCCGCCTGGTAGGTAGGCCACACCCAGCAGCCAGCACGCTCCCGTGTAGTGCGGGCTGGCCTACCCGGCGCGTGGCAGGCGTGGCGGGCCCGGCGGGCCGGCAGTGCGGGGCTGGCCTGGCCTACCTGACTTACGCACGCTGGCAATACTTGCGGGACATTCGTTTGAGGCCCTATAGTATGTGTAACCCCCCTCCTCTCTAAAAGTCGCGTTTAATATGGGAACCGCCCCTTATTCTTGCTGATTTGTGCGCCCCAAGGCGGTCGATAGGTACGACCTTTGCCGCTCCGACACCTCTGTAAAAGTTTTACCCGAACCGACAATATAAGCCCTGCCCGGGCCCACCACCGCAACAAGACCCGTGAAGTAGCAAGTTTCAGCGGATTTCCAGGGCAAGCGAGTCAGGCTATCCATCCAGCCATCTATCCGGCGGCCCCGGCCCCGGCCATCAGGGAAGGTTCGGGAGGGGGTTTGGAGGAAGCGGCATAGCGTGAACTTGACGCCTCCACTGCCGCCCCCGAGCCCGAGTCAAAGAGCACGACACACAAAAAGTTTTCGGGGGGAGCGAGAGAGAGAAAATGGACGAAATTGGTCGACAGGTGGCACCGGCGCCTCTAGCGCAGTGCAGCTGGCGATGGCGGGGCACGCCGCGGCACGGACTGGCACTGCCAGACATGCTAATTGACATTCCGACCTTCCCACCAATTTGTGCTCCTTTTCTAAAAAGGAATAAAGTGATTTTCAGATTCTCGGTTTGAATGTGATGCCAAGGCCAGGCCCACACTGTGTGTGTAGCAAGTCCGTCCGGTCCATCATACAAGCGTCCATCCAGTCTAGGGGAAATCATTTCGAATTATTTCCACACAAATACTTATTATCAGCCGTGCGATTTCTTTATTCCAGTGTAGAGTACAGCCGGTCACGGTCCAGGTGCCGCGCCCGGCCACTCTCGGCCCGTGGGCGTGGGCGGCCCATCGGGCGGCCCTTCCCACCCGAAGGTCGAACCGACACAAACACACATACATCCAATTCGATTGGGTCAGATTGAGCCAAGCCCCAATCAGAATGCGCCAGCCAATCCAGATCAAACTGGATCCAACCGGATGAGGCCAAAGAGCGCATGGCAATTCTCCTGCTCCTTCACCCCCACCCCCCTCACTCCACCCCCACCCATGCCTCAAATGCTCACCCAACTCGAGCCTAAGTGCTTGCCGATAGCCGTGGTCACGAACACAACACATCGGCTCACACGGAGGCCTAAATGGAACGAGGCGCACAACAACAGGATAGGCCTAATTCCCTTCAAAAAATAGTTTACTTTTCGTTCCATAACCCATAGCCCCACGCCGTTTGTGACCTAGGGGTGTGGAGTAACTAAAACAATAATCATTTACTAAAAAATACAAGAAAACGCACGACCACACAGATATAATATTTAAAAATCTACACGCTAAGCCTACGCGTTTCCAGAAACACACGGGTGCCCCCAATTTCTTAGATTGTGGCTGTTCTCCAACTCCGGCCTGGGTTTGAAACCAAACGTGCACTGCAGGTACGAGCGTTTCCTAAATCTCCAATCATCCTAAAATAGCATGCTTTGGGACGAGCAAGCGCGTAAACCACACTTTCTTTTTTTTTGCCACGGCTGTATCCACTTACCGTTTTAATCCACTGGTTCCAACAGCGTGTGAACTCCTCCCTATCAATGTAGCCATCCTGCAACAGAAGGGCGCGAAGTGGAGTCGCTTTCACGCAAAGTTTGTGCGGGGCAGGGGGGTGAGGAGGTAAGGCTCGTCCCAAAAGTGGCGTCCCTCTCTCTCTTACAAAACGAAAATGGGAGAGGGATTGACGTCCCAGAGGGACTCTCCGTGAGATGAGTCTAGATTTGGGGGGTAGGGGGGGGGGGGCACGCGGCGAGTCGAGTGCAAGGTCACCGGTGCAATATGTGGCCGCGGCATGCGACGAGTCCCCCACCCCCTCACCATGTGACCTCGCCCAATCGTCTTTGATTTGTGTGGGACTTCACGGCCCGGGGATGGAGGGAACGTGAAACGTTAGTCACTTCTTGCCCCCGCACTGAACCCTCCTACCTCACCGCCCCGAGGTGACAACTTGGTGCAACACACGCACTAATCAATAAAACAAAGTGCGTGCTTCTGTGTGGCTAATTTTCCGCAGCCAACTTGTTCCGTCATCAGTATTATAGCGTACTTCGGTTAACGGAAGAAGAATATAGGACATAAACAAACGTTCCCGATTGGTCGACAGCTTCCCGCCTCTGCGTCACGCCGGTAGCGGAGCGTAACGGACTGACTAAGGCTCGACCAACCAGGAACCTCTGCCTCTGTTCTAAACACTATTCTTCTTCCTCCGTTAACCACTACGGCAAACCTGCTTGTATTGGTGATTTTTAAGTAATTGGTATTTAAAAACACAAAACATAAAAATTTCACTACAATTTTAAAATAAATAATAATAAAAAACAATTACTGTTAACTAGAATAAAAAAGAAAGCAATTTAAATTTGAAAACAAAAATACCTACATGAACAAAAAGAAATCTAAGCGGAGGAAAAAAATAAGATGAACTGAACTTTTCTAGAATCAACTTCTCGGCTTCTGTACTGAGTGTAACCGCCTATGCATGCTGAAACCAGTTCAACAAAAACACATACCTTGTTCCTGTCAAAAATATTGAAGACCGTATAAAGTTGTTTAGGTTCGAGCGTGTAGATTTTTCCCTTGTCATTTCTAAAGAGAGCTCGGCACACTGAACCGAATTCTTTAAGGTCTAGGTAGCCGTCCCTGTGAATATGAAATGTTAGGTGTAAGCAGTGGGTAATCTACACACACAGCGCTTATTTTGTTGAATCATCACTTTGATCAATATTCAACGAAAAACCCTTCATGAATACTTAATAACAACAACAAAACATAACCTTTCTCAAGGTACGCACACATGTCAGTGACACAAAGTGCAACTTAAGCAGTCAACCAGGTCAGACGACGCACACCACATCCCGCCCACCCGACACAGACGGCCAACGATGAATAGTTCACACAGACACAGGTAATCATAACCTCTACTCACCCGTCCTTGTCGAACGCGGTGAAGCAGGCGTCCATGTCCTCTTGTCGGTCGGGGTCGTACAGCCAGGACTCGCCCTGCTCGTGAGCCTCCAAGGGCTCCGCCGAGAGGGCCGCCTCCATACCAACTGAGGCTGCGGAGCGGAGGGAAGTCAATACCACCTGAGCATCCCCCCAAAGCGACCCAAGCTGTTTACAACGACGACCCGGTCGCTAGGGCCAAGCGCTAGCAGACGACGTCAGAGACACCCCCACCAACCCTAGACGCCGGGCAGGGCTGCCAACGTGTCAGGGGTTGCGCCGTTGCGCCTCGGCAAGGGCGTCGATTACTTTTAACGCAATCGTAAGAGCTCTGCTACAAACCGTCAACATAAATCAAGGCACACAGCCACCACTCGGACAGGGTATTACCAAAAAGAGCAAGTGCTGGGTATTCCCTGAGAAAGATGTTGGTGGTATTGGGCGATGAGGCTACTGCTTAAACGGAGGGGAGTTCAAAACATTCGTAGACTGAACCAGGACTGAACTGACTGCACTGATGCAGGCCTGTGGGCGGCAGACGCAGCAAACCAGTGCGGTACAGCCTCATTGTGCGGGGGGTTTGCATACATTAGGGGCCAAGGCTTAAGGCGCCTCACGGCTGAGGCGAGTAGGTAAACCACATACTGCTGTATCTTGGAATCTTGGACCTGACACACGGTAATCTCTACGGACCACAGACGAACGTACCGAACGTATTAGTTATAGGGCAGCAGCAGTTCCAAAATGCATCACATCGTATTCAATGTCACGCATTTGTTGCAAACGCAATGTCGGCGTGGGCCCAACCTGCGGACTAGTTATACATACGTAAGGTTGTTTGTGCGGACGTCGCAATGCCAGTGGTGGTGATGACGGTGGTGGAGCCCTCGCCGTCCTCGAGTGAGCCAGACCTGCTGTGGCCGAGCACCTGCCAAATCATTCACTACACTGCACTTCAGCGTCCCCACTGTCCTTCCCTGCCGTCCCCCCTCCTCCTCGTGCGCGGGGATCGACAAGTGTGCGGATTATCTGTGAAAGGTGCGCCTGATAAGCTAGCGGCGCTCCTGGTGCTGCTCACCGAGGGCGTGGGGCAGGCTGCTCGTGCTGAGAGCACACAGGTGAGCAGCTGCAGCTGCAGCGACCAGCGGCCCATCGCTGACACGACCTGACTGGGGCCAGTGTGGCCACTCCCCCCACCACCAGCAAGACCACTCCCAACAAGGGGATCACACCCACATAATCAAAAAGAAATTACGAGCTTAAATATAACAAAGTAATAACCAAAATTTATTGCGCGGGCTCTGTTAGGACGCACACAATTCAGCACTATCAGAATTTCACAGTCCAGTGGATTACAACAGAAATATAACTGATTCCAACTCAAAGGGGAGGTTCCCAAGATTACTACTACATATTGTATATAAGCAAAAGAACAAAAACAAACACTTCTGACAGATCAGTCCTCATGGATAAGAAAACAGACCACTGCAGATAAAAAGCTAGTTTTGCTCCCTTAATCCGTTAAACCAAGGCTTTAATACAATAATCCAGTACACCTTGCAATTAAATTTGACTCAAATTTATAATTTGATTTTGTATTTTTTGCATACAGTTCTGCATTTATCAACAAGAGCTTTCATTCTTTTGATTTCATCTGGAATATCAATTTTACCACACCTTCTCTTGACATGTATGCAAAATTGTTGAAACATTTCACTTAGCTCCTTTCGGTCCTGAGACACAATAAACCTAGAGGACAAATTTGCTATGACTTGTGGCACAGTATGCCTCAGACTCTTTTCCACAGCAAGCAAGTTGCTTGTACGAAACTGTCCTGAACTTTTTGTATTTGTATCACTGAAATCCGCACCAGCAAAACGTGCCAACCTATCTGTATGTCCTTTCCCTATTTTAAAAACTGTTTTATTAGGATTAACACAAGAAATGTTCTCATTGGGATTAGCATGCTGCGTCTTTTGAGAGCTGCTTACTTCAGAGTCAGTAGTTATATTCTGATCTTGCTTAAAGTCAAATTTCTTCACAAAGTCCTCATTTGCATAAAAATCTTTGACAAGATCATCAAAATGCTCCCCAAAACTTGACCCAAAAACTGCAAAAAAATGTCTTTTCACATTGCTAAGGAATGCACCTTTATGCACTGCAGGTACATTCTGCTTTAATTTTTTAAGACAAGCTTTAAGCTCAGCAACACGTTCTGCACCACCTCTCATACCACATCTCCCAACCAGAACCATATTGAGAAGACGGGTGTACTTTTTCCTTTTTGCTTTGTCTCCAGAATTCTTCAATTTCAGTCCCTCCCTAACATTAAACGACATACTTTTGAGAGAATCATAAAGCTGCTGAACTGTCATATTTATACCTATACTAGGATTCTCAATGAATTGTAATTGGTGTTCTAAAACAGTTATAAGCCTATCTCGGTCACTGGGTAACTTTGGACATATATCGCGGGGAGGTTTCAGCTCTTGTTTCAGCTCCTTCAACATTTTCTGTGAATCAGCCAAGATGATCTTTTGTTTTTTAGTCCACGTCATAATTTTTTCCCTGGCCTCCTGAAGATTCTGCAACATTATATAATGGCTAAGAGAAAGAATAAATAAACACAAGTAAATGAGGTACAAATTACTCAATTTTGTTCTTACCACAGATGTTCCTTCCAGCACAAGTTTTTTGTACTGTACATCAAGACTACTGTGGATGATAATTTTACATTCTGTAGCAAGGTTATCAAGAAACTCCTTTCCTTCAGGAGTTGATAACACATTAGCATTATCTTTAGAAAGCAGCATAGTCACTTCTGTTTGTCCCTCTATCTTCTGTTCCTGATCATTCACTTCCAAATAGCTCCTCTAAAAATTGAAAAAAAAAGATAAGATTACAAACAACAATGCCATACATTCCACTGATGAGACGATACAATAATATCAGAAGTGAAACTCACAATATAGGGTGTGATTTGGTCACACTTCCACTGAGGTTTTGTACATTCATGTGACAGATGATATTTTCCAGCACAATTGGAGCACCACTGTTCACTTCTTGGGCGCACTTCAACTAATTCAGATTTGGAAATCTCTCCAGAGGTCGTCTAAGAGTAGGTAAATACGATTAGAGCTACAATGAGGGAATTACTGAATTTCACCGTTTCACAGATACATACTGTTAAATGGTACCGTCTCCACAAATCTGGGCATGATTTCCAATTGTGTAGTTTTGACTCACATATTTTACAGGCATCTAAGGAAACACATTTTTTACACTTATCAGTGTAAATGTTACTCTTTTCACCACACTGAAAGAGGAAGAAGGTTAGGTGAGTATAAAAGTTATTCAGGTATTCAAAATACAATACACACTGCACAATACAACAAAAAATGTGTCTGTATGTACAAAAACTTAAGTATTCTCATGAGAACAATACAAACCCTCAAACACATTTTCTTAGGACAGCGGGGCTCTGAATGTCCTGGTACTCCACACATGTGACAAACCACCAACTTTCGTGGCGCAGGACAAAATTTGACCTTATGTCCAAATTGATTGCAATTTACACATTTAGGCCCATAGCCAGATGATCGAGAATTAAATATATCAGCTTGACATAATTGCCAGAGCTTAGGGTCATCTGAAAAATATTGAAGTACACATTGAAGCCTGATGGGCATTTGCATGAAAAATTTACTTAATAAAGACAAAAACTAAGCCAAAAACATACCGCTCATTTTTTTCAAAAACTTTCCATGGTCTAGAAACTTTGAAGACCTTATGGGATTATGAAGCCATTGGTCAAGATTGTCCATTTTGTTTTTCTCCTTAGGTATGATGGGTTTTTCTAGAAGGGCTCGTCCAGTTTCAAGGAGGCGTTGTCCTTCTGCAGATGTCTCATTTTCATCTGTGGTTGGATAGACAGCAAGGCGTTTAAAAGGTGTTGAATGTTCAGAAAGACTTGACTCAAAACTGCGTCTTTTGGTTGGCCCCCTCAGCTGGACACTGCAAATTGAACATTGATTGATAATGTTACTAGTAAAATTATAGTATTAAGTTGATTCTAAGAAATAGTCTTAAAAAAGTAAAGATTGAACAAGTAGCTTACTCATCGTTACGTTTTGAATGATCTATAACATCTAAAATCACCAAATCTGAAAATAAATATACATGTATAAAAAAACCAATGCAAAAAATTAGGGTCATAATAGCTAGTGGAAGAAACACAAAAAAAGCAGATGGTTTCAAAAAATGATAAAATTGTTGTTACCATCATCAGAACTACTTTCAATAATAAATTCTCCTCTTTTTTCTTTTTGATTTGGAAATATTACAGTAATGTCCTTTTTGTTAGGCAAGCTTTTCTTGTTTGTATTTATCTAAAACAGAATAAAATTTATGAAACAAGGATTTCTTTATGAATAGAAATGATATGAAGAATGAGGATGACGCCTACCACTGGAACATATTCTCCATCTGACAAATCAACAATAGGAGGTGGTGGTTTGACTGGTGGAGCAACTTCTACTATAGAACCAACTTCACTTTCCGAATCACTTTCACAGGCACTTGTTTCCTTTTCGGGCACTTTAAGTTGGATTTGATATCGAGAAAATTCTGTTGTTTCTTCATCCTTGTCCAATTCGCTAGCTCTTCCAATTAAGTCTGGAGTGTGTGTGCGACTATCAGCATTTGAGGAACCTTCTTGCAACTGCAGGCTGCTGACACTTTCTTCCTCAATAGAATCAACTCCAAAACTATATTTAGAAGACATGTCTGCCCATGACATACCAACACTCCAGCTTGAGTCTGCATTTAGATTGTGCAGATTATGGTTGGAATGTAAGGATGTAGGAGCCTCATCAATGGAGGATCTACTTTCCTCATCTAACATTGAAGACAGCACCTTTGATACTTTAGCCTCAAAGCTTTGCTGTTTTATTTTCCTGGTCCGGGGTGAATTTTCAGACAGCAAGTCATGAGACCTTTTCCTGGGGCTTTTCGTTTCTTTTGATACGACAGTAGAAACCTCCTCACCCTTTTCCTTGTCACAGGTGCCTGTTTCACTGTTTTGAATACCTGAATCCTTTTCATTACTTTTTCGACTATGAGTATTTTGCCCACTTTCATCACTGGTGGTCAATTCTTTGCTAAGGTCAGAATCTGTTGATGTTTCTAGAGAGGAGGAAGAGCAGCTGGGAGGACTCTGTGTCAGCGTAGGTTTACCAGCTGAATCAATTGATGCTGCTGTTTTATCTTTGGATAGGTCAGGCACTGACATATTCAGGCTTCTGGATGGAGAGGAGTTATCTTTGATAATGGTTTTTACACCATCTTTATAACTAACAGAGACCTTAGGCTTGTAAGATATTTCTTTAACTGACCGAACCATTAACCGAGTGGTGAATTCTGAGGGCCTGGTAAAACGCTGATCTTCTATTGTAGTTTTCAGATTGTATTTTTGACCAGGGTTGCTTGGAGCAACAAAGGTAGACTTTGAATTACTGCTACTACCATTGTCATAATAGCGAGATGCTTTAAACCTACTAGGATGGTTAAACTGACTTCGATTGCAGCCAGCTTGCAATTGAAGACTTCCCATACTTGTGGTTGGCTCATCAATTCCAGATGAGGCAAAACCTAATTGGCGAGCCACTGTTGAAGTTCCAATATTTGAAATAGCAACAGTGGTAGGTGAAGTGGAGGCAGCTTCAGGTGAAGCTGCATTAATCGAGGTGTCATCATAATACACATGACTGTAGAGCATCTCCTCCAACTCACGTTGACCATCATCTTCATCACTATCTTCATGAGGATCAGGTGAATGTGACACTCCCAAGCGCTCCTCATACACCAGACTAGCTTCTTCCTTTGCGAAATCCATACCCTGGAACATGATAAAACGATAGAGTTAATTAAATGATTGAACACCAAACCGTTAAATCTGCATAACGTAGTTGTCAGAATATACCCAAACCCCTGCAAATTTCCCACCCTAGGCCAATGGCCTTTCAAACTTCGTCTGCTCTAATGAAAGGCAGAGTCAATGACACCGCTGTAAAACGGCGAGAAGATACTATTTGCCAAACTTGAACGAAAACATAACCTCCGCACCACACCACGAGTGCAGGTCGTACGGGCGCCCTAACCTAACGCGTTTGTTATGATTGCGTCCTGCAGACGCGACAGCCCCCCGCGCGGCCCCGGGACCACGCGCCGCCCAGCCGCCCACCCCTCGGACTCACCGCGGGTGTCCGACTCGTCCTCCGCGGGGCGTATCATCCGACGCGGAGGGTAGAACACCCCGTGTTGCTCCTTACGCCGAACGTCCTCCGTGTCCTCCGTGTCCGCGCGTGCGTGTGTGTGTGTACGCGGTGGCCGCTTGCGAGCTTGCGCAACGCAACCCAATCTCACCAGCGATGAGAAATTGCGCGTACGGGTGACGGGCGAGAGCGCCGCGCTGAGCGCCCGAGAGGTAGGCCGCCCATCGTGCTCCAGAGCGGCGGAGGAAGAGTGCAGCGGTAGGTGAGCGCCCGCGAGGCAGGCAGCCCATCGTGCTCCAGGGCGGCGGCAGCGGCAGCAGCGGCAAGATAGCGAGAAGATAACTCACCGTGATCATAAATCCTTTCTAAAGCTAACAAAATGGTCTAAAAAAAAACTCTGGTCTTCGGAAGGCCGAAGCCTCAGCGGGTGAAAGTGTTTAGATTCGAATGTCTCGGTAAATACAGTGTAGTGTCCAAGCAGTACAGCGGCAGAACTCAAAATTCAGTACAGTTGGCTTTAATCAAGCGCCCATACAATGATGGGGATGAAATGAAATCGGCCACTTCC